CAGGCCCCGTCCTCTGCGGGTTGTCTGCAGCTGCCACTAGAGGAGACACCAGGGTCTTATGCCTTTGCTACGTCTCCTCACATCCAGGCCACACAGGGTGCCTGCTGCGCAGAGGAGAAAGCGCCCGGCTTTTATAAGCAGCTGTAACAACACAGCAGGCAGGCTCGGCGGCCCTGGCACAGTGGTAACACCGGTGCCCCGCAAGGCTGGAAGCCACACGGCCACCCGTGGGTTCAGATCCCCAGGTCGGCCTGAGGACACGCCAGGTGTGTGCACCAGGTGTGTCCACACGGGTACCAAGGACCCTGAGGGGCTGGGGGGCGGGGGGAAGGGATCAGGGCATCAAGACCCTGTCGAGGGTACCTCCCCCACCCCCGGTGTCTGTGTCTGCTCTCGTCAAAATCCGTAGCTGACATTTACTGAAGGCCTCCCCAGGGCCAGCCAAGGAGCACCGGACACGAATTTGCTCTTTTCCTCTCTGCGTCCATAAGGCAAAGTGGGTGCCATTACAGTCCCCTTTGACAGAGGGAGACACTGAGGCAGACTGAGGTAGCCTGCCCAAGGACACAGTTTATACGTGGTCTGACTGACCAGACAATATGCCCGCTGAGGGCCAACAGCGTGGTGGTGAAGGCAGTTGGACTCCACGTGACCAACTGCGAAGTCGGAGTCCCGGGCTCCACGGCCTGGCGTTCAGTACACTGGGCACCTGCGTGTGTGCCCAGAACCCTGACAGGGTGGAGGCAGGACCGCGGTGTGACCGTCCCCCGGGGAAGTCTCACCTTCTTTCCCTGACTCCTCTCTGGTGAGGGCACGTGCCCTATAGCAAGTTGCCTGTAAGCAGGATGGGGGTGCTCAGGAGGGGTAAGGCCTGGGATGGAAAAGCTCTGCTCTGCACCCCACTACCGATGGCCTACATGATAAGAAGTCCCACTGGGCGGTCATCTCTGAGCTCCTCTTGCTCGGCGAGTGACTGAGAGCCCTCGCCCAGGCCTAGGGCTGACTCCGCGCCACATCTGTACCCCAGGCCCCTGTGGCTTTGAGACAGAACACAGAATGTACAGGCCGAGAGAGCCTGGAGCTGGCAGTGAGGGACGGCCTTGGAGTGGCGTTGGCAGCCACAGCTGCCCTCCGCAGGCCAGACACGCCGCCTGCGTGCTCGGCACACCCATGTGGGCGTCAGCTGCCAGGGCAGCGTGCGTGCTCAGGCCCAGGCCTCGGGAAGGACTTGCGAGTCTGAGGGTCACTGCTCTCTGCCTGGCTTAACAGATCGGCTCTGACCCACTTTTTAGGATGAAGCATGAGAGTCTTCTCATCATGCATTGGTGCTGGGGTTCAGCTATTTCTAATATCTGGGACACCCACTCCCGAGCAGCCGCAGGAGGCCCCTCGTGGGCAGGTTTCACACACCTTGAGCCCTCCCCAGAGCCCGGCCTGGGACCTGGTGCAACAGAGAAAGAGCTTCGCTTCTTGTCTTCTCCTGCGGGACTGTGCTAATTGGCCCCCCAGACACCCCATGCCCCACGGCAGCTAGCTGGGCTCTTCCCCTGTCAGCTTCTGGGGAAAACCAGCATCCTCTGAGAGTCACAGGCATTACTCTGTGGCCAAGTACACTGGCAAATCGAGACAAAGTTAAGATTTCTTTTAATTGCCAGAGGGTGCTTGTGCTTCCCAGAGAGAGAGAGAGAGAGACAGGGAGAAAGCACCCGCAGTGAGGCATGGTCATGCCACATCCCTTCCCCTCCAGTTCCCCATCCTGTTGGGATTTTCGGCAGGCACGCACATCTGTTTTTCAAGTGGCCAAGGCCGGATCTGAGTGTGGGTGGCCATGTGGGATCCAGCTCCTTTAACCCGAGGCTGCAGGGCTGGACTGCTGACAACTCATTTAAGGCAGCAGACAAGGCCAGGAGCCAGAGAAGGGCAGGAGACCCCAGATGGACTCCAGGGTTGGATTCTGCTGACATAAGGGGCTGTTATGAACACGTGCGTGGCCCGTGGCCCTCAGAGCAGCCTCGGCCAACCTCGCATTTCCTGCCCGGCTGGCAGCAGTGGGAGCTGAGTCAGACTTGAGAGCGACCAGGAGCAGCACTGAGCACCGGCGTCCTGGGCGAGGCTGCCCCTGGCAGCCATCTGCCTGCCCCCGGAGGAAACGTGCTCCCAGTGAGGATGGAGGAGTGACCCTGGGGGCCGCCCTCCCCTGCAACACCTGCCACGGCGCTCCACCAGGCACAGCCTATGAGGCCAAGGGATCGCGGGTGGCCTTGGCTCAGGGCGTAACGACACAGGCTCTCACGTGGTCCTTCTCCCCTCCAGCTCTTCGTCGACAAAGACACGATTGTCAATGCTGTTGGGGCGTCACACGACATCCACCTCCTGAAGATCGACAACCGAGAGGACGAGCTGGTGACCAGGGTCAACTCCTGGTGTACACACCTGGTAGACAAGGTGAGTGACCTTGACCCGCGTGCCAGCCACCAGCCAGCGAGGTGGGCATCTCTCGGTAGTGTCGGCTGTCTTCAGGAAGGCACGGATGAGGATGGGAAGGGATCGTAGAATCCCACACTGGACACTTCATTTAGCCGAGCCTTCACACCTCGTGTGCTTGGCATGTTTCTAACTCCCCCTCAAATGGAGAGCGAGCAGCAGGACGGGACTGGGAGGCTCCGACGGAGATAAGGGCTGTAGCCGTGCGGATCCCAAGCAGCAGGGTCCTTTCCCTCACCTGGACTCGGTAAGTGGTGTTAGCCAACGGTCTACGACCCTGAGCTCGGGCCTCACTCTCCAGATCCACACGGATGAGATCATGAGGAACCGCAAGCGCGTGAAAGAGATCAATCAATACATCGACCACACGCAGGGCGAGCTGGACAACCTGGAATGCGGCGATATGATAGATTAGGGCGGCTCGGCAGGGTCCTCTCGGAGCCCAGCACGGCCGCCCCGCCCGGACGAGGAAGGCGCCTGCCACCCGCCGCCCGCCGCCCCGCCCGCCGCAGGAGAAGCTTGCGGGGAGCTTCACCCCACCCCAGGAGACTTCCAAAGGGAGAGAAGAATAAAGGGTTTACATCCCCTTGGCCCTGCTCTTTATTTTATTATCGCTGGAGGATATGTGCACGAGAGACAGAAAGCACCCCCAAAGGGACATGGCCACCCTGCAACCCCTTTTCTTCCACCCCTCCTTCCCATCAGGATTTTGCACGCACACACGCCTCGTGTTTTTTTCAAGCCACTAGAGCCAGGGCTTGAACCATGGTCAGCCGTGTAGAATCGGCTCCCAGGGCACAGTGCTTAACCACTACACTGTGGGGCTGGCTCCTACTTTTCCCATATTCTTTAAAAAACAAAAACAAAAACCCAGCTGGACGACAGCGCAGAGGTAACACAATGCACTGCACGCTGGGCCAATGGGAAGGTCCTGGTCTCAGGCCTGAGGCCTCCTTAGCACACCAGCTGCGCACGCTCCCACACCTGTGATTCTGGCTGCCTGAGGCTGGGGTGGATCGTGGTGTAAGGACCCTGTAGGGGGACTTTTCTCTCTCTCTTTCACAAAGGAATAAATAAACTTTAAAAAAAATCAGAATTCATATTCGAGTAGAAAAGGAGATCAAGACGGACAGGAGGCTCTGGCCAGTCGGCAGAGGGCTGCAGGGGCCAGGCTCTGGGCTGGGCACCACACCCACTTGTGCCCATGCACTCTGACATGCCACCGGTGCCACAGGGAGATGGACCGGCGTGGACAGCCCTTCTCCCCTCGGGGTGCTGGAGGGAAGCCCCCGGCAGCTCAGGGCTGGGCTGCAGGGACCCGAGGGCCTCCAGAAGCTGAGGGGCAGACTGGCGTCCCGGCTTCACCCCATCACCTCCGGGAGCCAGTGGGGGGTGCTGGCATGGTCAGTGCCCCAAGGCAGGGTGATGCCCCCTGGACTCAGGCGTGCGAGGACTCAGCTGGAGCTGTCCCAGTACCCGTATCGGTGCTGCTGGCACGGGGCCTGGCATCAGGAAACAGGTCGGCCGCACGGGTCCTGCAGGCCACGGTCAGAGGACCTGGGAGTCCCACGTGGAAGACAGGAGGAAACCACACATCAGGTGGCCTTGCCTGGCCCGCCTGGGCTTCTCAGCCACAAACAACTCCTGTTTTCTATTTTTAAGGACAGATCATCTTTTTTCTGGGCTAGTAAGAACAAATAGAAACAACCGGCTTGGACCAAGAAGGGCTCACTTTCAAAAGATCATCTGATTAAAATCCAGGGGAAAAAGCCTTTGGGCTGAGGGCTGGAGAACACACAGCTGTCTGCTACAGACAGGGCTGTTTCTGTCAAACGTGCCGTGGGAGATGCGCTGTTTAACCTTGGTGAGACCCAGGCGAGGCAGGAACGGGGCGCTGCAGGGGCGCACGTGCTCACGCGGCTCCACACGCCGCCAGTGGAGAGATATTTCATAAAACCAGGGTCGAGAGAAGGTCGCTTGTACAACTCATCCTCTTTATTCACTGCTGGCCAGGCCGGGCGTCTGGTGTGGAATGGAACTGACCTCTGGGCAGCTACACTGTCTCTCGCACATTCAGGGTGACCCCGAGTGAGGCTGAGCTCCAAAGGCCAGGGAAGTCACAGGCTGAGGGTACCCCACAGGTCCGGGGAACCGCACAGGTCAGGGAGCCCGCGGGCCGGGGAACTGCACAGGTCAGGGAGGCCCCGGGCCAGGGAACCGCACAGGTCAGGGAGCCCCGGGGCCGGAGGAATCCTGGCTGTGCCGAGTAGCCCCCATCACCAGGCCGATGCACCCAGGCCTCAGTCCTGCAGAAGCTTATGCTTGACGGTGGTGCTCTCAGAGCAGAGGTGGACGAACAGGGCGCCAGCAGCGGTGCGGGCCCGCAGCTCCTGCAGCTCATAGTCGTGGGCCCACTCCACATTGCCCCACTTCTGGATCTGAGAGGAAGGAGCAGAACCACTGGGTGAGGGCCAGGGCCTGGCTGCTGCTGGCCAGAGCCTCCGCCCTCCCCACAGCAGGGTGCAGGGCACAGGTGCCGTTCCCGGCAAGCGCGAGATGTCTGGGGCGGCAGTGAGGCCACCAGGTGGCCAGAACGGGCACATGGACTTGGGGCGTGGATGGTCTGGGAGGAGTCCCGGCCCAGGGCCAGCGGCTGGCACTGACAGGTGGGCCAGGCACAAAACCACACCTGTGTTGAGGATGACCAACCCATGGCACCATCCTGTCCCCCTGGGAATGCTGCCCTCTGTGCACTCCCTCGCTGCGCAGGCGCCAAGTGCCCCGTGGGTGGAGTAACGCCGTCAGGTGAGGCCCCATCTTGACTGGGGCAGCCGCAGCTCTGAGGACGAGGCCTCTGCTCTGCACTCTGACACGACTTGCAGTCTCTTCCCAGGACTCTCAAAACAAGGAGCAACCCCTGGCCCACAGCAGGGCTCCGGCCTGACCTGCTGGCTCCTCTCCAGCTGGCTGCTTGGCCTGGCTGCCCCAGCTGATGCATGATGCAGGCACTGGGATCTGCCGCTCCGACAGCCATGTGCATCGTTGGGCTGCCAGTCCGAGCCCGGACAACTGCAGCATGCCTGCAGAGCGTTTCCCACTTTCGCTTACGCCCTCACATCCATGACCTGGGTTACTGCTCATTCTGTAGAGGATCAAGGCCCCAGGTCAGAGCCCCATGGCCTGGCTGGGTTTCCCAGTCAAGAGCAGAGCCCAGACCAGAAGTCGGGAATCCAGGCTCCTCCACAATCCCACAGCTCCAAGTCACCCCTTCCATGTGATCCGTTCTGACGTCCAGAGGACAGCTAGCCCCATTCGCTGTCCAGAAACAGCTGTTTCCCTGGTGTTTTTCTGAGCTGACAGACTTGTGAAATACCGACATAACAGAGGGTTGTAGCACATGAGGAGCCAGCCCATAATAGCACTTGCCCTTCTGAATTGGGGATAACGACAATGACAAAGACTGCAGAGCCACCAAAATTTTCAGAGTTAAACACGCAAATACGGGGCTAGAAGGTGGTGTGGAGGTCAGGGTGGTGGATCCCACATGGCTGACTGCAGATCGAGTCCCGGACCCAGCAGCTTGAAAAACACTCTGGGCACACGTGCGTGTTTACTCAAAATCCTGCGAGGAGGACGGAGGAGGAGGGGCTGCAGCATGGTTATCCCCAAGGGGGTCATTTCGCAGTCCCCCTCCCTCCCTCTCTCTGCAAGCACACACACCCTATGTCAAATATATTTTAAAAATTAAAACAACAACAGCAAAGAGGCCGGCCCCATGACAGAAGCTGAGCACTGTGCACTGGGGCGCCGTGCTCAGTCACCCCTAGAGCTCTCCTGCGCCTCCCACTCAGAGCACCTGGGGGTGCTGTGCATACCTCGCAGGGTTTGAGTCCCAGCCCGGTGGCCTGAAAATACACGAGGCACAGGTGTGTGCGTGCCCCAAACCCTGACCGGAGGGAGGAAAGGCTGTGGCATGACCGTGCCCTGTTGGGAGTTACCCTCTCCTTCCTTTTGCTGTGAGGACACACGCCCTCTGCCCCCCCTCCAAAAAACCTGCAAACGAGAGTATAAATCGAGCCCCCTAAATCCAAACCTGTGTACAAACGGCAGCTACTCCTCCACTCTCCGGAAATGTCAGGTGCATGGGTTTAGCCCCCCAAAGAGCACAGGCAGGGCCAGGCAGGGTGCAGGGGCAGTACAACCGGGCCGGAGGGGAAGGCCCTGGGCTCTCACCTACAGGCCTCCCTGAGCACAGAGGGTGTGTGCGTGTCTGTGATCGGGACTGGCTGAGAGTGGGGGTGGGTGCAGCACGAAGACCCTCTTAGGGGTGCCTGCCTCTCTCTTTCTCATTGAAGAATTAAATGAATAAACTTAAAAGAAAGTGAAAAAACCCTCAGCAGAACATTTTCTGGAGGTTCAAGTTCCTGCCTCAGTTTCCTTTGCAAAGTGTGGCTCGCCGTCTACAGGCTGCTGAGCTGAGGGGTGCCGGCGCACAGTGTGGCCCTTGCTCTTACTCTCAGTTACTACGACGCGACGCTACTCCTGGTCTTTAGTCCAGTTCTGTACATCTGCAGAAGCCGTAAAGGCCAAGTTCACCTAGGCGTGTCTCGGACGGGCCAGCCAATGCCCCCATCCCCTCGTCTGAAGAGGAAGGGCAAGGAGGGTCTGAGGGGCCACCTCACCTGGTACTCCTCCTCCAGGCGGGACAAGAGCACAGCCTGCTCCACCATCAGGTGCCGGTCAACCAGGCCCAAGGTCAGCAGCATGGACTTGAGCTGGGTCACCACAAACTCAATCCCTGGGGGAAGAGGCCACGTCAGGACCGAGGGCAGCCGTCCAGCCTACCTCGAGCCTCTGCAGCCTTCGCAGAAGCAAGTGAGGGTGTACAGAGGCACCAGGAACGGGAGTCCGAGGGCCCACCCCGCTCAAGGCGCATCCTGGTCTTCCTTGGAGCATCTTCTCTGCCCTCTCCAGGTGGGCATGTGACCTGAGCCTGGCCAATGAGTAGAATACCCCTCCCTCAGCCCCCACCCCACCCAGTTTCTGATTCACGGATGGGCATGTGACCCGAGCCAGGCCAGTGAGACTTGAACTCGGGACTTGCTGGAGAGAAGAAACCCAATTTTCTGCTGAAAGGGTGTGTCTGGAGTGCTGAGTGGAGGGGTCACTCCCTCCAGCTCTCCTGCAGCTCTCACTCGGAGCCCCGGGAGGCCGGCTACAGAGCGCTCCGTGCACACCTTGCAGGGCCCACGCGTTGTAAGAAGCCAGGTGGCTGATGAGCACCTCCCGCGTCTTGGCAGGGATGCTGGGTCCCATTATGCTGGTGGAGGAGCCGATCTCTATGCCGTACCTGAAAAGAAAAGACTCTGGTGTGTCCCTGTCCTGCGGTGGTCCAAGATCAGCCCAGCTTTTGACTGAAAACAAGGACCTAAACTCCTGGGCATGTATGTGTGCCCCTTGGTGCTGCACCCACCCCCACTCTCAGCCAGTCCTGATCACAGACGCACACACACCTGCTGTGCTCAGGGAGGCCTGCAGGTGAGAGCCCAGGGCCTTCCCCTCCAGCCTGGCTGTACTGCCCCTGCACCCTGCCTGGCCCTGCCTGTGCCCAAGAAGCTTGTCTTAGGGACTCTGAGAGCAACTGCCACTGTGGATAGTGGCCTCCGGACCTAACTTTCTGTCCCCTAGGGCAAGCCCAGAGGACCAAGAAACTGAAGGAGGCAGGGCTGACGAACCAGGTGAGCAGGGGCTCAGGGAGAGGCCACCTGAAATGCTCATTCACTGACCTGGGACCTTGGTCACAAGTCCAGGCTATGGGGCTGGACGGGGGAGTGCAATGCCCTGCCAGGCTGACCACACAGGGAGGGCTCTGAGTCCGGGTCTGGAGATACCCAAGTACCCCGGACACGCACGTGCCTGCGATCCCAGGCTGAGGGTGGACTGGCGCAGCGAGGTCCCTCAGAGCTGGTGTACCTCTGAACCTCTCTCTCTCTCACTCACAGAAGAAATAAACAAACAAACATAAACATTTTAAAAAGCGATGGGGCCAGCCAGGTGGTGTGGCAGTTAAGGCACTGGATCCTGCGTGGCCAATTTTGCGACTCAAGTGACCAGCATCTTGAAAAACACACCGGGCATGTGTGTATGCATGCCCAAAATCTCGGGGGGAAAAGAGACTGTGGCATCATCCTGGGCCGGGGGGAGCTCACTTTCCCTCTTTTTCTCACTCCCCCAGGAAGTACATGTACCCTATAGCAAAAAATAAATAAATAAATAAATAAATGTGAGCCACCTTCTTTTTAAATCTTCTTTAAAAGTTTTTGAGGGCCAGAGCGGGTGTGGTGGTCAAGGTGCTGGATCCCACATGGCCAACTGCATGGTGTGAGTCCCAGACCCAGTGGCCTGAAAAACACGCTGGATGCATGTACACGGGGCCCCGAATCCCGTGAGGAGAATGCAGAAGGAAGTACAGTGGGACCTTCCCCCTGGGAGGCCATTTCTTGCTCACCCCGCCCCACCAACCTGTCTCTCTGGCAAGCACATATGCCCTACAGACCAGGGGAAAAAAGGTTTTTCACACTTGAGGACAAAAAAGACTTCTTTCAAATATTGTTTTCCTTAGTATCAATCATTTTCCAAACATTTATCAACGTTCTACAATACGCAAGGCACTGTTCCTGGTCTGTGGTGTATGGGACATACACTGGCTTCCAAAGGACACATGTTTTCAGGAATAGTACCAATCACATTAAACAGGTCAAACGAAATGAGTAAAAACACTTCGTGTAACATTCTTTCTTACACCACTGATTTTTCCTATTATTTAAAAATTATCCTTGTAAGTTTTAATAGTACAAATTGAAAGTAGGAAATGGACAAGTTTTCTTTGTCTTTTTTTTGGAGAGGTTTTTGCTAGAGGGCCCGTGTGCTTGCCTGAAACACGAGAGAGAGACACAGAGACAGAAAGTGAGAAATCATCCCCCAGGGGGGATGGCCACGCCGCAATCCCTTCTCCTCCATTCTCCTCTCGGGATCTTGGGCACGCACGCACATGCGCCCGGCGTGAGTTTAAGCCACCGGGTCCAGGACTCAAACTGCCCTCGACTACGTGGGAGTTCAGCGACATAGCCATTATGCCATCTGCTGTTCCCAGGAAGTGGACAAGTTTTCTATAAACCATTAGGGATAGGATACTTCAACCGCCTCAAAGACAAGATGGTTTTGTTTCACAGCAAACGGCATGGCTTCCCCAGGCACCTCTACTGTCGTGTTCTCACACAGCACTGTGGTTGTGACATCTTATCTGATCCTGAGCACCAGCTAGGCCTCCTCCTTTAAAACCCAAGGACAGGGGCCGGGCGGAGACACGGTGGTGACGCGACTGGGCCCACATGGTCAAGGTGCCCAGTTCCCACCCTGGACCTCCCTGAGCACACGAGGGAAGGGCGTCCGCAACCTAGGCCAGCTGGGGCCGGGGCAGGTCAGTGTGAGGAGCCCACTGCGGGTGCTTGTCTGTCCCCCCTGCCTCCCCGTGTCTCTCTCATGGAAGAGACGCCTGTACTCCCGTCGGGGCTGTACCGCGAAGGCCGGCCCTTCTGAAAGCGCTGGGGTGAACCGAGGCTGGATGAGCATGCCGCCACGGTCTGCTCTGTTTTCCACTCCGAAGGGCCCTCCTAGCAGAGACGTGTGGTGTCCCCGGTTACCTCGTGGGAAGCTTCCAGACCTTTCTCCACAGGTGTGTGTCGTGCACACTGCTTTGTGATCTTACCTGCTAGCACAGCGGTCATGCCAGAGAGAGCGACTCGTTAGCCTGAAGACACAGCCAGCAGTGGCAGAGCTGGGCTCGAACCTGCTGGAGCAGGGCCTGGTGCTGCTGCTCGCTGAGGACAGAGCTGGCCTACACTGGGCCAGTGCAAGACGGGAGGGGCTCAGAGCATGGTGGCCAAGGTGACCTACCCCTGAACGTGCGGGGAGCAGAGCCCGGGCACTCTGACAGACAGACCGGCCGAGGGTCCGCCGTCGACATACCCTGACCCCGCAGGCACCCCCGTGGGCCAGTCAACGGCTTCAGCAGGCCGCGTGTCTTACCTTTCCTCTGCCCATTCTATGATCGGGTCCCACTCGTTTTTCTGAAGTTCCACTAGTGTCTCTGGCTCTTCCACCCTGTAGCTAATTCATTGCAAAAATCACCTTCATTAATAAAAAAGCACAATTCCTTCACTCAGTGACAGAAAAAGAAAAGCAAAGGGCAACAGCAAACCACCACCACACCCCGGTCCCCAGGCGTCCCCGACGCAGCGGCTCTCCAGGTGCAGCCTTGGCACCATGGCAGCGGCACTGGCTGGGAACAGTTAGAAATGCGCACCCCCAGGCCGCATCCCACCCCAATGGGAAGCAGACCGTCCAGGGCGGGCCAGCACTAGCCCTCCAAGGGATTCTAAGTAAGTCTGAGCTGGTGGTCCACTGCCCTGAAAGCCCCAAACACCTGCCAGGACCAAGCCAGGCCCAGGTGCCATTCAAAAGCAGACCCAACCTGGCACACCCCAGGTGTGCCCCCTAATGTAGATGCTGAGTACGTTGCAGTGCCTGAGCCCGGCCGCCACGGCCTGCTCTCAGCCCCCAGAGACCGCCGCAGCCCACAAGGCCTGCCGACACCTCCTGGCTACAGACGCAGCTGTGGCAAGAATGCCTGACCAGTGGGGGCCACCCGGAGGCCGGGCTGTGCCACCCACTTTGACCAAGAGGCACAGGGACAAGCTGAGCTGCAAGGGCTCATGGGCCAGGAGCGCAGGTGGGCACTGTGGATAGGAGCAGAGCCTGTGCGTGCTCAGGAAACGCTGGGCTGCTGGGACAATCAGGAGGGACTTCCCTCCCACTCCTCGCCCCACTGGGCAGGGAAGGCGCTGTCGTGGCCCCATCCCATCCCTGGTGGCCCGCCCTGCTTGTCCCTGCCAGGACCCCATGTGGTTTTTCAGCCTGAGCTAGGCTGGATGGGTCCCTGCTCACCGCGATCAAGTGCTCTCGAACATAAAGGAGGGGGTTTCCAAAGCGGCGGCTAGACCTCCACGCTGCGCCCCCGCCCAGCCGTCAGGGCTGCCCTCCGGCCTCCTACAGCCTCCGTGAGTGGCTCAGGGCCCAGGGCGCGCAGCCACTTCAGCTGTCTCAGCTCCCTTCAGTGTCACTGCCCAATTAGCCAAAGTGCACGGAGGCGGAGGGCCGTGGAGCTGCAGGAGGCCGGCCTGAAGGGCAGCTCGTGGGAATATGCCGGTGGGCAGGGGCCTGCTGGAGTTGGCAAGTGACCGTAATGGCCCCGGAGCCCGCAGGAGCCGCACACCCAGCCCCTCTGCCCAGCCCCAGGGGCAGCTGCAGGGGAGGAGGCGGGCCATGCTCCGGTGCTGTTGCAGACGAGCCCCCTCCCGGGGGTCTGCACAGCAGCGAGTCCCGATGTCAAGCAGGCTGCCTGTCCGCCCTGCGAGATAAGCCAGGGTCTGCCTCCTCCTCCACTAATAACCATCTGGGCAGATGAGGTAAAACGGCCCCAGGGGAACCCCCATCTCAATGTCAATTACCAGATGGTGTCTGTGTCCAGAAACTTCACAGCCGCCCGGATCAGCTGGTCCTTGTTTCGCTGGGTTGGGTTGTCCAAGGACGTGTTGCACAAAGTGGTCTGAATCACAAAGCAGAAAGCGCCCAGTCACCACCTGCCGG